ACTTGAGCGGGAAAGTATTTAGGATGTCGCCTCTCCAGCAAGCAGGAGTGAGGGCTATTCCAGACCACAAGCTTCTGGTGGAAACAGACAGTCCGTATATGCCATGTTCTGTTCCGTTCCCTATGACCCCGAAGCACATTGGTACCATATACCGGAGGGTAGCAGAGCTCCGACGTAAGCCGCTGTCTCTTTTAGCCAATGAAGTCCATGAGAACTTCAAGTCCTTTTTTGGGGTGCAACTAAGGAAGCAGTGATGGAGATTGAGGAAGCCAATTCCGTAGATGCCAAACCGATGCGCAGGATTGCGAAGGAATCGCAGCTGGACAATTTGATTTAGTGAACTGTTTCGCGCTCGGAATATTGACTGTCCATTGTGTCTTATTTCATAATATCTTAACATTATTATGTGTTGATATTTGTATCATATATATCGTATATGAATGTTAGTATGAGTGTTTGTTTATGTTGCTTAAATTTGAAATTATAATTGGTTTTAATGTAAATCGTAATATTATCAAAATGGGGAGGAGTGTGGTGGTTTTCGATACCGGGCTTATTTGCCTATGGGTCGAATCCCACTGGTACCCAACAGAAGCACGTTTTCCGGTGTATGAGAGAGGGCGCCAGATTTGTCACTGTGTGCATGGTGTATGCTGTTATTTGCTACATTATTACCTGTTTTTACATACAATAAACAGTGGTAAGTTTACTCTATCGTTTTCCCTCGATCTCGGCTCTATAGCGGAGCGGAAACACGATATTTACAATGCCGAAAGAAAAAGTTTCCTATGTTAAGGACGATGAACCAGATTTTATTAAGAAGTTTAAACAGAGAGTAGGCTACAAGGAGGGCCCAACAGTAAATACAAAGGTATGTAGAATAAATTAAAAATCTACAGTTCCTACATAAGTAAAAACTTTTCATTTGTAGCATCTTATTTCGAATTTTCTCAACAAAAACGTGTGTGTACCTCGCTACCTGGGAAGAGGTTAGGCTAAGCGCATTAGTTCCTGCAATTAGTATTTATATTAACTACTTAATTAAAATTTATGACTCCAGGGTTCACAATTTAATTTAGGTGAACTTGTACTTTTGGAAATTTAACTCTGACAAGGCCTTAAATTCTTGCATACATGACATTATGATGAAATATATGGAGATAACGAACAGTAATCATGCTCAAAAGTCCGTAAAGCAAGAAAAAAAACGAGCAGAATAAACACGGACCTTCAAAACATCAGGGGTGGGATCAGCATATTCTCTGGCCAAGGGTTTCTGATCCGAAATCTCTTGTAGAGTGGATTTTAGATCAGAAATCTTTGGCTAGCGAAGATGTGGGATCAGGGGTCATGGAGGAGTGAGCATCCCCTGCTAACCGGTCACATTTGCTGTGTGCTCCTTATGATCAAGAAATAACGGAAAAATCTATTTAAAGACGTCTGTCAGCATTAGACTCAGCTGCAATAATGTAGCCCTCTCCGATTTCTTTTATCTGATATTTTCTGGAGAGGGTTACAATTCCATCGCATCTCCGTAATGGTGCAAATAATTTTTTTTGATAGGCGCGATTGAAAGCAAAATAAATTATTTTTTACATTTAAACTTACTTCTTTTAAGACGGAATTTTTATTCACTGTCAACAAAATAGCCTGTTAAACTCGAAAATCATGTAATTAAATAAATCTGCGTCTTTCCCAGCTGCAATATTCAGCAGCCATGACATTCACACAAGATGTACTGAGACTTTCGCTTGAAATTTAGAACAACTAAATGAAGCAATTTTCAATGTTTATAAACGACTGTGTTGAAATATATCACAAAAACATCGATAAATAAAACCATTTCAAGTGTTATTTTGGAGCAAACAGCGATACGTATGTTTAAAATAAGGGAATTCCTAGTAGATCCGCTCCTATAGATTCTAAATTCTCATTGGTTATCCCAAAATAAAATATATTAAAGCCATATATGGCATAACTGATAAAAAAAATATATTTTTGAAATTTACAAAATTAAGTAAAGAAATAAATTTAATACATTTAAATTAAAACTTTTCATACTCTTCTGAACACGGAGAACACCTCGTTTCATCTAATAATACGATTTTATCTTCTCTGTATTGTGTTATTTAAATCTTTTGTATTTTCTTCCGAGTCGGAGAAAATTCTGAGAACCCAAATTAAATTGTGATATCTTTATAACGCAATTGATATAGATTTTGTAATTTACGGAAAAGTTCTATCTTTATATAAAGTAATGATACAAATAATAAGTTCTTATAATTTTAGTCTAATAATTTTCATTGTACATACGCCATATATGGCTTTAAGGTCAGTAAACATGGCGGATAAATTCAAGTTGTGATGTTGACATACACGAAAAATAACCGATATATGGATCGTTGTGAATATTTTTGGATCCATTTATGTTTTGCATAATTACTTTTTTGGATTCCAGGTAAGAGATGTTAAAAAAATAGCCGTTTACTGATAATTTGAGCCAAATCCGTGAGGGAGTGATTCACTGCCACATTTGCACCATTACGGAGATGCGATGGAATTGTAGCCCCCCCCCCCCCCCCGAATTGGTCCTCAGTACCACCTTGCTTGTCATAAAAGGTGACTAAATGGGGCGGTCCTTCGGATGAGATGGTATAAACCGAGGCCCCGTGTCACAGCAGGTGTGGCACGCTAAAGATCCCTCCCTGCTCAAAGGCCGTAAGCGCCGAGCATAGGCCTAAATTTGTAGCCCTTCACCGGCAATGGTGACGTCTCCATATCAGTGAAATATTCTGGAGAGGGACGTTAAACAGTATACAATCAATCAATCAATCTGTCAGATATTTCGAATTCATGGATAGAGCAAAGTCATCTTGGATCCCTAGCTACAATTGACTTATAATGAATTCGTTACATGGATATAACAAATTACGGATATAGTGAAGTAAAATCACAGGTCCTAGTACATGTAGTAACTTCATTATAACCAAGTTTTACTGTACAGTAAATCAAAGGTTAATAAAAAACAATAGCCTTCAATGTTTACTTTCAGTGGAGTCTGGTTAAAGACTTGTGATAGAAGAATGTGAGAGAAGGATTTGATTAAATATTGAGATTTAAGTAAATACTGTAAAATCACATTTTCGTGGGGTCAAATTTTCGTGGATGGGGGTGGGGGAAACTTTTGGTTTGTAAGGATGTGAATTCATGGATGCAGAATTGTTAAGTAGTTCATGTAGTTATGTATATGGCATTTTACATTTCGTGGTGGACATGAATTTGTTGGTCTCTTAATACATTGAAAACAGCGAAAATTAAACCCCCACGAATATTTGTGATTTTACAGTTTGTTGAGATTTGATTAGGATGATTATCCTGTAAAAAAAAATTATTAGAAGTAAAATCGGAGAATTGTTTTAATATTTTGTGAACAGCGTGAGATGCCAGACTTTGATGACGATGAAGACAGACCAGACAATGAGGACGAGAAGCCGGTCGTCGTACAACTGAGGGAGGGGGATCTAACTGCTGAAGAGGTGGAAAGGCTGCAAAAGACAGAGGGTGTGTATATAATACACTGTAAACAAACATTCATGCAGTGGTGGATCCGGAAATTTTTAAATACTGTAGATGTACTTTTTCCTTGTGGTATTAATTTACACTCTGTACATGGTCACACATTTTCTGCAGAAATTAAGTGTACTTAATATAAATGTAAGGCATATAGTGACACTCTAGGAAATCTGCGTAATTTTCTACATGCAAATTCAACAGATACTGAGATTCTGGGAAATTTTATATATGACCCAGTGGAAAAAAGTATGTTTACAGTATAGGAATTTTAGTTCATGGCAAAATTAAATTTAAACAACTCCAGCCAGGCATTGATCATATTGATACTTGCTAATTTGTTCATCCATAGCAAAATTTGTGCCTCTTAAATGGTCGGAGGCACAATTATTTCAAACACTGATTTGACATAACTCGTACAGGTCTTTTTGTTCATAATGTTGTTTAAGTGAAATGTTGATTGTTTTTTCATCCCAGAACCCCCAGCTGATGGTAAGATCACGTTTAAGAAGCCAGTGAAGAGGAGTGGGGAGGATCCAACAGAATTAAAAACTTCTACAAAGAAGAGGAGCGGGGAGGAGGCATCAGAATTAAAAACTTCTACAAAGAAGAGGAAAGAGAAGGGAGAGAAGAAGAAATCAGGGAAAGGTGTCAAGAACTCGACTCTGTTGTCATTTAACGAAGAGGAAGAGGATGTCACATGACACATGTCAGAAGATGTCACATGACACACATCATGTCATAGGATGTCACATGACACATGTCATAGGATGTCACATGTTACAGAATGTCAAATGACTTAACAAATATCACATGACATGTGTCATAAGATGTCACATGACATATGTTACAGGATGTCACATGACTTTTAACACAGTCAGGATACCACATGAAACATGACAATGTCTTGCCATAAACTGTTCTTAACATTATGTAACATTGTAATTTATCATGTAAGGACACAACAATGCAGGTTTCATCAGATTTGGTTCTGAACATTGTTCATTTCTAATCACATGTTGTAATTTACTCAAACATTTCCTACTTCCTCATTTTTTGATGGGCATATATTGTACAAAAAGGACAAAAAATTTAAAAAGTGTGGACATTCTTAATATTCATTAGCTGAAACATAGAGAACTCTTTGATTGTACTGGAGACCGATTGGAAGCTCAAAGAAACCAAGAAATTGCTTGTCAAGTAAAGCTGTATTCATTCCTTACTAAAAACTGAAGATTACATGCAGATTATTTAGATTTTAGCACAACAATAAATATAAAAGCAAATAATTTTACTACGCAAGTGGTGCTAATCTCACGAAATTATATGATAATCAATTCCTTGTGTATATTTATGAAATTACCATTCTTCTGTCATTTGCATCGCGGTGCTAATAAGTTTTGAAGTATTTATAAGGTCACCTTAGTAAACTTAGGTGACCTATTGTTATCGTCGTCGTCCGTCGTCCATCGTGTGTTAACATTTGAACATTTTCAGCTTCTTCTCTGCAACCACAGAACCAATTTCAACCAAATTTGGCACAAAGCATCTATGGGTGAAGGGGAACAAAAATTGTGAATTTCATGATCCCTGCCCCCCTGGGGCCTGAGGGGTGGGGCCAAAACCACTAAAATTAATGCAATCTTTAAAAATCTTCTTCCTTACTCCTGGACATCAGGCAGTCAAACTGTTTGCATGATTGTAATCAGCAATGAGACCTACCAAAATTGTGAAATTCATGACCCTGGGGTCAGGGGTTCTAGTGCTAGGGCGGGGCTAAATAAGTAGGTAGTGAAAATGCATTATTTCTTTGAAAATCTTCTTCTCTGCTCCTGGGTATTAAATAAACCAACTAAGTACATAGTTATGATGAGCAAGAGTGCCTCTACCAAAATTGTGAATTTTATGGCCCCAGGGTCAGGGGTTCTGGTGTTAGGGCGGGGCTCTATTGATTATTAGTGAAAATACATGAATTCTTTGAAAATCTTCTTCTCTGCTCCTGGGTATTAAATAAACTAACTAAGTACATAGTTATGATGAGCAAGAGTGCCTCTACCAAAATTGTGAATTTTATGGCCCCAGGGTCAGGGGTTCTTGTTTTAGGGTGGGGCTCTAATTATTATATAGCGAAATGCATGAATTCTTTGAACATCTTATCCTTTGCTATATGTTAATGATCTAATTACATGTACATATTTAAGGCCAGGATTTATTTTATTTTCAGTTTTACAAACCCTCCGCTCAAGGTTTTGAATTTACAGAAAAAAATTAAACAATTTTTTTCTTTCCGATGTCAAATTTGAGTCGGGATCGAGATTTCAAATTTACGAACTCGCGCTTCCGGTTGTAAGATGAAACGGCGGGTAATTAAAGCTAAGAAGATAGCTTGGTTTAGTGTAAAATTCATCGATACGAGTGCCATTTAAAACGTTTCACCCGTTCAAAGGACATATAAAATGCTGACGAGTTTGTTGCACAATGACATGCTGGTGAGATAATTATGTATTCGTTTCAAAAGTATCTGTCTGTAAATTATTTTCCTCCCCAGGTTTTAAACTGCCGGTGGTAGCTATTGCATATTGCCAGCGACATTGTTTAGGTCTCTGTTATAGCTTACAGTCTAAGCATCATTCTTCAGTAAAGGGTTGCTTATGCATCAGATGTAATGAATAAAACTATGGGAGAAATTAAGTCCATTTGAGGAAGAAATAAACAATAACCTGAAGAAATAAAAAAAAATTCAACTATTAAAAGGCAAGAATATACAAATATGCAGGCATGTAGTATCATTTGTATCAGCCAGAAAAATTATTTTACACTTAATTGAAAAAATGATCACCCTACTCCCCAATACTCCCTGTCTGTTTTATGATAGGAATTATAATTTTAGGCATCAAGTAAATTTTAGAACAATGTCTACACATTCACCTAACACATATTAAAAAAATGAAGATATATTGAAAGACTTTTAAAGAATTGATTTTTTAAAATATATTTTGACCAACATCACAAAATTTATGTAACTCGCCTAAACTGGCAAATGATGAAAAAAGCAATTAAATGTTCTATTTTCCTATTTGTAAGCATTATGTGTCCAGTGGTAAGGAACCTATTAGAATAGCATAAAAAAAAGAATGTACAAATGTTGATAATTGATTTATCAAATTTTTTTTTAGTTCCTTCTCCTTTGGGACTTTTTTTATTCTCATGTTCATAACTAAACCTAAACATAAAAAAAAAAAAAATGCTGGCCTTAAAATGAAGAAAGGGGCCTCTTTCAAAATAGATAATTTCAGGGCCGCTGGGTCAGTGGTACCAGGGGGGTACTTTGACTAAAAATAAATTAATGCTTTGAAATCTGCCCTTTGATAAGCAATGGTGCCTCTTTCAAAATTTGTGAATTTCATGGCTTTTGGATTAAAACATGAACCAAATACAATCGCTGGAAAGTTGTTACATGATACTCAGGTGACCTATAAGGCCCGTGGGCCTCTTGTTGTCTGTTGACATGTGTTGTGTGTTAACATTTGAACATTTTCAGCTTCTTCCGAAACTGTTAAACCAATTTCAACCAATTTTTCAACCAGCATCTATGGGTGAAGGGGAACAAAAATTGTGAATTTTATGGTCCTTGCCCCCTTGGGCCTGGGGGCAGGGCCAAAACCACTAAAATTAGTGCAATCTTTAAAAATCTTCTTCTTTACACCTGGACATCAAGCAGTCAAACTGTTTGTATGATTCTAATCAGCATTGAGTCCTCTACAAAAATTGTGAAATTCATGGCCCCAGAGTTGGGGGTTCTAGTGCTAGGTTGGGGCTAAATAGATTATATAGTGAAAATGCATTATTTCTTTGAAAGAAGGATATGGAGATAACGAAATTGGTTGAAATTCTTCTTCTCTGCTCATGGGCATTAAATAACCTAACACTATGCATATTTATGTTGAATAAGACTGCCTCTTCCAAAATTGGGAATTTTATGGCCCCAGGGTCATGGGTTCCAGTGTTAGGGCGGGGCTATATAGATTATATCGTGAAAATGCATAAATTCTTTGCAATTCTTTTTCTCTGCTCATTGGCATTAAATAAACTAATCAAGTGCATAGTTATGTTATATGAAGCTGGCTCTTCCAAAATTGGGAATTTCATGGCCTCTGGGTCAGGGGTTCTAGTGTTAGGGCGGGGCTATATAGTCTAAAATTATATAGTGAAAATGCATAAATTCTTTGAAATTCTTCTTCTCTGCTCATGGGCATTAAATAAACGAACCAAGTGCATAATTATGTTGAATGAGGCTGCCCTTCCAAAATTTTGAATTTCATGGGCTTAGGGTCAGGGGTTCTAGTGCTAGGGCGGGCAATATAGATTATATAGTGAAAATGAATTATATTTTTGAAAGTCTTTTTTTCTGCCTCGTGCACCTGGGTATTAGACCAATGAACTATGTAGTACATAGTTATGAGGAGGAAGGTAGACTTTCTGAGATTTGTGAATTTCATGGCCCCAGGGTAAGGGCTTCTTGTTTTAGGTTGGGGCTCTAATGTTTATATAATTAAAATGCATGAATTATTCGAAAATCTTTTCCTTTGCTCCTGGGTATTACGCCAATGATATAAGTACATATTTAGAAGAAGAAAGCTGCCTCTTTTGAAATGGTTAATTTCCAGGGCCCCTGTGTCAGAGGTATTTGGAGGGGGAGGGTACATAGTCTGAAAAATAAATTAATGCTTTGAAATCCTATTTTGATATTAATCAACAATTTATGATGAAATAATATTCATGATAAAATTTCCTAAATTTTGAAATTTGTGGCCCAGGGTCAGTGGTTTCTTTGGGATGGGATGCACAACTGGTTACAAAGTGGAAATGCATTACTCTGATCTACACCTGGGTATCAAGTGACCAAAGTAAGCCTGCTAAATGTATAATTATGATAAGCAATGGTGTGTCTTCCAAATTAGTGAAACCTGTGACTTCTGGTTTGATACACGAATCAAATTCAATTGTTGGAAAGTTGTTACGGAACCTATAAGGCCCGAGGTCCTCTTGTATTTATTTATGATGCAAATGTCATCTCTTTCTTTATACTCCTGTTATCTAATTTAGCAATTACATTTTGCCTCTTTCATTTTATTTCAACAATTCAAAATCATTAAATTTTGATTAAATTGACAATGTCTGGTGCTTCATACGTTATGTTAAACAAAGGCCCAGGGGCCACATCGCCTGAGACTGAGGCTAGGAAAAAAGCAAAAATCAGTCTAATATTTTTAAAAGCTTAAATGCATGAGTGGTCCCTTTGATCCCCCAATCCTACTCCCCGGGGTCATGATTTGAACAAACAAATCTAAACTACAAGAGGATACTTCACATGAGTTTCATTTTCTGTGGCCCAGTGTTTCTTGAAAAGACGATTTTAAAGATTTTCCCTATAAATTCCTATGTTAAACTTTGACTCCTTGTGATGGCCCCACCTTAATCTTGGGTGTTATGATTTGAAGAAACTTGAAACTACGATACCAGAAGATGCTTTACTGGCCCATTGGTTCTTGAGAAGAAGAATTTAAAGGATTTCCTTATGTTAAACTTTGACCCCCTATAATGGCCCCATCCTACCATTGGGGGTCATGATTTGAAAAAGCTTAAATCTAAACTTCGAGAGGATGCTTCCACATGAGTTTCATCTTTCCTAGCCAAGCAGTTCTTGAGAAGTAGAATTTTAAAGATTTTCCCTATGTATTCCTATGTTCAACTTTGACACACATAATGGCCCCACCCTACCCCTGGGGGT